TGGTGTTAGGAACCGCCAGGTAGCCAGACCAGCACGAGTGAGGCGGTAATGTTCTTTTTGGCGGCAGTAAATACTTCAATCCGTCGTCGTGGTCGACGGCCCTCTTCACGTCTCCATTCTGGAGTGCTTTTAAATAGTTGGGCGAGATCGAAATCGCCCTTAGCTCTGAACCCTCCATATCTGTCGGTGCGTTGCGTTTTAATTTATCAGCGACGGTCGCCGGCCCTGCTGCGTTAAGAAGCGCCTCCACGAAGGAATTTACAAGTTGCGCCCAGCGGAGAAACATCGCGGCGGGATTGACCCCGTCCTTCGCAGGACGCGGATATGTTTCTCGCGGTAACGACATCCGTTGCCCATCCGACGTGCCGGCAAGCAACAAAAGCCCCAAAATAAGAATTATCACCACTACTGTGGAATTCGCATGTGACATTGCTAAGAACTGCGCAATGCAATTCGCCCTATAAACCCTGTGACTCCCCTTCTTTCCACCCTCGCTTTCCCAGAATAGTTTTCTTTTCCCCCCTCTTGGTGCCCTCTAAAATAATAGTAATAATAAAACGTTTATCAAAAGTAATAAATAAATAGATGATAATAATAAGAAACAGCCCCACACAGCAGCAGGTGTCAGTGCGTGTGTGTGTGCACCTACGTATGAAGTGGTGCAATGTAATGGGGTAGAACGCCACCGGTGATTATGCGTGACATATTCCCGGCACCGCCTTTTGTGTGCATGCGTGCCATCGTCAGAGACACGGAACAACAGAGAGAAAATTGTATGCACCGCACGCCGCGCGAGAGGCACCAACAGAACCCCGCACCCTCCCAATCCCCTCCTCCCCCTCTTCCTCCGCCGTTCAAGGTTTAAGAAGAATGAATGGGCAGAAAAAAAAATACCAAAAAAAAAGGGGGAGGAGAATTACACGTAAAACTGTTCAATAAACAAACAATCACACACACAAAAAAAAAAAAGGAAGAAAACGCAATGAAAAAGGAAAGGGTCAGTCACGCAAATTGTACCGGACAAGGATACCCCGTCACATATATGGATGTATATTATAATTATTCATTTATTTATAAATTACTGCTTCGTTGTTCCAGTTTCGGTTTCGCAGACTAAAGGATTCGTAAGACATCTGTAAGTATGTATGTGTGTGGGGGGAGGGGAACGAAAAGATGCTTGCATCATAGGCTTTTTTCACATTGCATTTAGACAAGAGCAAACAAAAGTTGTTGGTTTTGTGTTTTTTCTTTTAAGGATGATAAGACACACAGAAAAGAGTGTGTGCACTGTTATATATAAACACAAATAGAATAAACATGCATTTTTAAGAACACTTTAAAGAAGAAGAAGAGGAAAAAAATTTATTCTTTCAATCCTTCTTTTTCCTCATCATTTGACTCTGTTTCTCTAAAGCGTTGGCCAGAAGCGGATCATCAATGTCCTTCTGCCGCCGGCATAAATAACACAAAATTGTTACCATAGTGATTACAAGTACCGCACCACCAAAAGTCATGGCAGCGATAATGGCTGGGCTCGGCGACTGGTCATAATTGTAATTTCCTTTCACTGGTAAGGTTCCTTTAAACGTAATCCATAAATGAGAATGACGAGCTCCAAATGGAATACCCGTACCATAAAAACCAATCTCCATATACATCATACCGCTTGTTATATAGGAATCACTCAATCGACTTAAATCCCTTGTCACTTGTTGCAATGTAAAGTTTCTATCCCCACTAAAAAAAGTGTTCATGACCTCTGAATCGGAGAGCTTTTGAACAACTTGTCCATGGTACAACAGTGTCATTTCCCGAAACGGGTACACCACGTGCTCAAATGCACCATCCCGTTGCAACGGGTGTCCTTCCACTACCCCAAATGCGTCTAAATGCGACGCGTTAGGAGTCACACCAAAACGAAATAGTGTCGGGGAGCGGGATAACACGTCGGGGAGGCCTGAAATGCCTCGAAGCAATGTAATGTACGTCTCATCGTATTGCAGCTTCCCAAATACAAGGTGGTTGTTCTTTGCCGCAAGAATGTCGGCAAGTTCATCATTCTCCGTCCATCGATAACTCACATTGATGTTGAGGAGAAGCGTTGCTTTCCGCTGGGTGTGGATGCAAAAGTCACTCGGGTTGTAGCTGCTGCGGAGCCCCAACGATCCGCCGAGGGAATCTTGGCAAATGTGTTTGTCCTCCAACCGCGCTGAGACAAGAAGTAGTCGTGGGTAACACACCCACTCTCTATCGAACCTGCGTTTCACCCACACAGTGCCGATCGGACAGAGACAGACTGCTTCAACCTTCTCATCGTGCCGGCATCCTGCCCGTTGATAATCAGTCATATTACTGTACTCATCGGCTGTTTTGCTTCCGTCGCTGCCGCAAGTAAAGATGGTGGTGTTAGGAACCGCCAGGTAGCCAGACCAGCACGAGTGAGGCGGTAATGTTCTTTTTGGCGGCAGTAAATACTTCAATCCGTCGTCGTGGTCGACGGCCCTCTTCACGTCTCCATTCTGGAGTGCTTTTAAATAGTTGGGCGAGATCGAAATCGCCCTTAGCTCTGAACCCTCCATATCTGTCGGTGCGTTGCGTTTTAATTTATCAGCGACGGTCGCCGGCCCTGCTGCGTTAAGAAGCGCCTCCACGAAGGAATTTACAAGTTGCGCCCAGCGGAGAAACATCGCGGCGGGATTGACCCCGTCCTTCGCAGGACGCGGATATGTTTCTCGCGGTAACGACATCCGTTGCCCATCCGACGTGCCGGCAAGCAACAAAAGCCCCAAAATAAGAATTATCACCACTACTGTGGAATTCGCATGTGACATTGCTAAGAACTGCGCAATGCAATTCGCCCTATAAACCCTGTGACTCCCCTTCTTTTCACCCTCGCTTTCCCAGAATAGTTTTCTTTTCCCCCCTCTTGGTGCCCTCTAAAACAATAATAATAATAAAACGTTTATCAAAAGTAATAAATAAATAGATGATAATAATAAGAAACAGCCCCACACAGCAGCAGGTGTCAGTGCGTGTGTGTGTGCACCTACGTATGAAGTGGTGCAATGTAATGGGGTAGAACGCCACCGGTGATTATGCGTGACATATTCCCGGCACCGCCTTTTGTGTGCATGCGTGCCATCGTCAGAGACACGGAACAACAGAGAGAAAATTGTATGCACCGCACGCCGCGCGAGAGGCACCAACAGAACCCCGCACCCTCCCAATCCCCCTCCTCCTCCTCTTCCTCCGCCGTTCGAGGTTTAAGAAGAATGAATAGGCAGAAAAAAATAAAAAAAAAAAAAACAACTAAAAAAAAGAAAAAAACTACACCACCGGTCACTTTGGTGAGTTCTTTGTTTCTTCCATGCCAGCCTCAAATGCTTGGCGTTCCTCCTCTTTCAACCGGTCAAATATTGCCTTGCCCTCATGAAACGCCATCGAACGCTCCTTCAATGCATTTGCCTTCTGCGCCTCCTCCAGTCGCCACGCATTCCCTGCCACAAGCATCGCACGCACGTCAAACGGCAGCTGCATGCCCGTCAGGGTCATAATGGTTAGCCCCAACATTGCTAATGGAGTAAAGAGGCGGCGTATAATGCGGTTTGACGTGAATCCACTCACAAACGACTGGACGGGATCGGCGTACCTGTATCCACGCACCGTCAGCCAGCCGCCAATCCCGAGCCAGCCACACTGGAACCCCACCATCCACGTGGCCCGCCTATATGCGTAGGCCAACGCCTGCTGCTCGCTGTCGTGTAGCGCAAACAGACGTTGTGCCTCCTCCATGCGCCTTACGTACTCCGCCGGGATTGGGAGCCTCTCTGCCATGGCGGGGTCCGTGATGAACGGCGAGTCCGGTGGCGAGTTCACGTCCCACTCCACTGCACCCGCCTCTAATGTCTCTTGCCCCATCCCTTTTCCTTTTCCCTTTTTTTGGGTTTTGTTTCCAACTGAGATCATTTGAATTAAAAAAAAAAAGAAAAAAAAGGAAAGGAAAGAAAGGAAATAAAAGAAAATAAATAAACACAAAAAAGAAAAAAGAAGACGAGACGTCAAAAGGTCCAAACTTTCTTAAAAGTGCCTTTGCACGCAGTTCATTTCAGGCTTCCAAGTTGTGTAACTGAAACAATAAGGATGCAAAGTGGAATAAAAAACAAAAAAAAACAAAAAAAAAAACAAAAAACAAAAAAAAAAAAAACTAAGAAAACAACAGCAAAAACATTCCCCCTTTTTATTTTCCTTTTGAAAATCCACAACAAATTCTCTCACATTTTCCGCCAATACCGCAATCACCAGCACTTTACATCAGTCAAGTATTGTTTTTTTTTCCCCTTTCTTTTTTCTTTTCCTTTTATGCTGGGAATGGGGCGGGGTAAATCGGTTTCTTTAAACACACAGAGAGAGAGAGAAAGACAAAGAGAGAGAGAGAGAGAGAGAGAGAGAGAGAGAGAGAGAGAGAGAGAGAGAGAGAGACGTCTCTTAAGAAATAAAATTGTAGATGGCCATCAATGACGTCACACGGCCCTCACTCTCAGGCCCAAAGCCACTCCACCCAAAGCAGAAAGTCCCCCCTGTCCACAATCCACACAGAACACATGCAGAGGAGGCGTCACACAAAAACAAACATGCATTTCATTTCCCCTTTACTTGGAAACGGCAGTCATGCGGGGTTGTTGTTTTATTTCATTTCTTTTCTTTCAAATCAGCGATGCATTTTTATATTTGCAGGCTTATAATTCATCACCATATTTGTTTATGCTTCTTTTTTCCACTATTTGCCTCTTTCCTTCTGCTCTTGTTGTTGTTGTTTCTGTTCTTTCCCCGTTTATAAATCAACATGCATGCCATGTGGGTAATATATATATATATATGTATGTGGATGGATGGATGGATGGGTGGGTGGGTGGGTGGTTACATTGCATTTGTGGCCAACACATAAAACATGAAAGAAACAAACAACCAACCAACCAACCAACCAACCAAACAAACAAACAAACAAAAAACTCCGTACGGACGCGTCAATTTTTCATACATTTTTTTATTTATTTATTTATTTTATTTTGTTTTGTTTTATTTTTTGGTTGTTTGTTTTTGGTAGGATAAAGTGGGATTTTCCTTTTTTTTTTTTTTTTTTTTTTTCTTCTTCTTCTTCTTCCTTGTTGATCTCCCCTATTGGCATTATAAATGGTATAAATTATTATTATTATTATTATTATTTGTTTTTGTTTTGCCATTCCCTCAATTTATTCTCTACCGTGCCGACTGTATATCTATGCGTGTATAAAATATATATATATATATATATATATATATATTACACGTGTGTGGGTAAGCATAAAAAAATTTCCGAATTTCCATAAGTCCAAATGACTACTGAACACGATATCGACTCCGTCGCTGTGACTCCAGTAGAAGGGTTTTTTGCATACATTTGAGAAGAGTTTTAGATTTCAACTTTGGCTCTGCGTGACCCGCAAGACGAACAAGAGTTTGAATATAACTTTTATGCACATTCTGTTGCATCAAAACATTGGTGGTGTTATGATAAAAGGGGCTACCAAAAGTTGTTAAAACGGATGTTTTGTTTAATACAACCAATTGTGGGGGCTGTAGACGCTTAAAATCTTCCATAAATGGTTTAAGTTGCGAATAAACTTCCGAGTAACGCGTATGGTACTTTTTGGTAATACTCGAGCGCAGTCGCTGGCCGTCTCTGTCCGGTATAAGGAACCCATCCGAGAGGTCGTACTCCACCAAGTCCAGCAGAACAGGCTCAGATTGTGATTCAAGACATGTTGCAAGCAACCGAAATGCTTTCAAATGATTTACAGTCATTCCACATGAGGTATCATGCAGCAGCAACAGTGTCACATTTGATTTTCCAGCCATGGCACCATTTTCCTTCGTTGGTTCTTGCTTCTCCTCCAGTTGATGTTGTTTCTGGACATGAACGAGAAGCGGAACCGTCTCGAGTGGAGGCAACCACAAAAACCACGGAGCAAAACCGTCCCTATTCCCGTAAAGAGATGTACGGAATTCGGAGTGTATACTTGGGTTTGACGCCTCTTGAAGGTGCTTTCGAAATTCCGCCAATGCCGTCAGAAATTCATCCGGTGAAGGGTGTGACACAACCGCCGTCTCATCATCAACATCATGATTTTTCTTCTTCTCCTTCTCCTTCTCTTGTTTTTCACGGAGGAAGAGATTTAACCAGCCTTCCTTGGGTGAATGAAGTTCATCCGGGTTCAAATCCATTGCATCTACTTTACTGTCAGGGTGAAACACATAAACCTCACAAAAGGCCGCTGCTGCCAAATTGGAGTGACGCCACACGGAAAACCGCAGTTCCTCCACCAAATCGGGTGAATCATCGGCGCTGACGGTTGCAAACTGAATGCCATCTTTTTGAGAGCTAAGATGTGCGGCATGAAAAACAGCCTGTTCACAGGTAATGCCTCCATTCATTTTGGTTGGAGGCAATAAGACAAGAACCAAAAGTTGAGATTTATATTCTTTTGAATTCGAATTCGACGGCGCAGTAGTTTTGAAGTCACCTTCCTTGGAGAGGGGTTGATTTCGCGTCCGTGCCGCCCGGTCCATCAATGAGACATGGAAGTGCTGCTCATAGATTTCTTGAAGATTCTTTCCATTAACTCGTACGGGTACAAACCGTTTCATCGCATTATTCTCCACAAAATCAATTAATCGTGCCCCAACGGTTTTTGCCCACATGACATGGTCTGTCTTCTTACTGGGACCGGGAAAACAAATAATACGTGCAGAGAAATCCGCAAGACTCGCTCCTCGCTTTCCTTCAGATGTCAGTTCATCTCTCTTAAGAACAATGAGTCGTGTATTATTTGAAGTAGGCAATAATTCAAGTTTTTTAATAAAATCTCCTGGAAACTCATTCATGTAAAGGGATTTCATAAATTGTAGACTCCTCGGTTCCATCCGTTGCAAAGAGACAACGTTCAGTTCTTCCCAATTAAACCCATCAAATCCTTCAAACTCCTCCACCTGCAGGAAAAAAGTTGGCAGCACTGCCCTCAGCCCAAAACGAGTCGGTAACTCGTTGTTAAATAAAATTTCTCGCAAGGGCGATGTGGACACCTTCTCCTTGACTCCTTCTCCCTTACATACAATAAGGGTTAAGACATCAAAACGCGAAAGCACGGAGCGTAACTCATACGCGGATTTCAGCTGCAGATGTGAAAGGGTGTTGACGGTGATAAAGTTAGACATCTCATTCATGCTTGCGGGGCCGTTGTACCTCACAACATGCGACATGCCTTTTGAACAAAAAAAGAGGCCGGGTGAATGAAGCACCAAACCAAACGTCTTAACGCCAAGGAAATCCGAGCCGTCAAAATCTGCCCGCCGTATCGCGGCAATGACTTGTAACGGCTCCGACGATGACGTTGATTTCGGCCAAAGAAATAAAAAACTGCTGCTCCATTCCCCTGCAAAGTCTTCATCCTTTTTTGTTCCCCTTATTTCATCCAGATATAATGCGCTTCCAAAGGCATCTGGCCGAGGTGAAACAAGCGTCGTAGGGTCCACAGGCTCTTCTTTTAAGGAATTAATCATAGCGTCTGGGATGTCGTCTTCAACGCTCTCCTCCAAAGGGTTTAAGAGCGTCGACAAACGGTGCAACTCGGAAATGAATTTGTCCACGTTGTGGTCCCAGTCGTTAAAAACCAACAGCAGTATCTCATCCACAGGGGTTTCCTGCGTTGCCCTCCGCAGGGCCACATTGTCTAAACTAACAATGCGGTTAAAGTAGCGGACTTCTGCCCCGCTGCGGGTGTTCGTCTGATTGTGGTACACGAGTAACTGCGGCGGTGCCATGCGACCGGCACCTTTATTCACCAACTCCGAGTTGTACAGGCGAGTTAGAAACACACTAACAACAGACGACGACTCCCCCTTTGAGCTCTCATACGTCTGGCTTAACGCCGAACCCAACCAATTTTGTCTCTTGGAAGGAAAAAATGATTTCGGCGTAGGGTGGAGAATTTGTTTCTCCTTTGGCCTTACATTTTCTCCATTGAGGAAAGGCGCGGGATTTTTCCGAATCTTTTGCTGCGTCTTTGCATTTGCTTCCCGTTGTAAAGACATGGCCAAAAGGAAAACACTTGAATACAAGACGAGGGCAACTACCATCCATAAAAAGCAATTCCACCGTCGCGGGCGTGGCATCATTCGTTTCCGCATCATTTCCACAGTCCTCCTTTCCTCCAATCGACACAAACACACACAAAAAGAAAAAAATATATAAATAAATAAATAAATAAACCAAGCTTTATTTACTTCCCTTCCTTTTAGGATTTATACACGCGTGTTTCTTGCAACTCTGAGGCAAAATAATATTCAACAAAAGAAGAAGAAAAAATTAAATAAATAAAAGTGGAGTGCACTGTGTATTTGTGGATAAAAGAGAGAGAGAGAGAGAGAGAAAAAAAAAAGGGGGAGGGGAGGGAAGGGCTAGTGGCACAACAATATATCACCGTCATCCCACCCATACACACAGACCCTTTCTTTGTTTTTCCCCCTTTCCATTATGCTCTTCAAATCATTGGAACAAATACTTATGTGCATCTATGTAATATACATATTTATAGCCCTGAAAAGTAGTTATGTGAGTTGCTGGCTTACACCACGCTTCTCTACCGTCTTTTCCGACGGAGAGAAGTGCCAACTATCACCACTACTGCGCCCACGCTTCCGTGACGGACCAAATGACACACGTGGTGAGTGGTAATTGGCTCTAATATTAGGAGAAACGATATAATGCGCATGTAATTTACACCCTGGATCTATAGCTGTAATAACACGCGCCGGTGTTATGTCTCCCTCAGACGAAACGGGAGTCGAATGTGACTCCAACGCCCCAAGTTCCTCTTGCACTTTTAACATCACCTTCTGAAGTGCGGTGTTTTCCTCCCGCACCGCCTCTA